GGACACACCAAAGAGAAAGCCACGAGTGCCACGGAAAAAAAATACTGCGGAATAAATAGGTAAAAGAAGACATCATTCTAAGGACTCGGAGGAGGAGCAAGCATTAGAAATCAATTTACTGCAGCAAGAAAACCAGATTAGGAAACTGACATTGTCATTATGATACAAGAAGATATAACTTCTATGAAACAGCAGTAAAAAGCCATGAGAAGTAACAGGCTGAAACACAAGTATAATCGATTGAGATCAACAGACAACAAAAATAATTTTTTTAAATTAAGGATTTAAAGAAAACAAATGCTATAATAAGATTATTTAAATCTCTAGTGAAATTAGTTAAGAACAAAAATGCCACTATGGAAAATCAGTGGCATAAAGTATAACAAAAAAAAAAAAAGAAAGAAAGAAAAGGCAAGCCATACAGACTGGAAGAATTTATTTGTAAAACCAATATCTGGCAAAAAGCTTGCATCTAGAATTATACACAGGAGTCTTATAATCTAATAATTAAACGACCCCATTTTTAAAAAATGAACAAATGACTTGAAAAGTTTGAAAAGAAGGTATAAGAATATACAATACATACATCAAAAGGTGCTCGATATCATCAGTCACCACTGAAATGTAAATTCAAGCCACAATGAGATAGTATTCACACCCAGTTGAAGGGTTCAAATCAAAAGGGCTGACAACACCAAGTTTTTCCAAGGACGAGCCACAACAGGAACTCGCATACCCTGCTGGTAAGGATGTGAAAATGATGCAACCACTTTGGAAATAATTTGGTAGAAACTCCCAAGCCTAAGCATACACTTACCATACGATCTGCCAATTTCACTCCTATATATTTACTCTGAGAAGTGAAAATCTACAGCCACAGAAAGATTTATACATGAATGTTCACAGCATCTTTTTCGTAATGGACAAAAGCAATACACGGGTCCACCAACAGATGCATGGGCAGACAACTGTGGTTTGTTCAGACAACGGACCACTGTTCATCAATCAAAAAAATAAAAAGGAAAGAATAAGCTTGTGACACCGGCAACAATATGAAGGACTCTCACAAACATTATGCTGAATAGGAGAAGCCAGACACGAAAGAGTACACACTGAATGATTCCACTTATATGAATTTTAAGAACAGGTCAAACCAAGCTATAGTGATGGAAATCAGATCCCTGGTAAACTAGAGTGGGGTTAGGGGCAATAAGTGCAAGGGCACAAAGGAATTTCTGTATCATCATGGGGTGGCAATTAATTACACAGGTGTATACAGTTGTCAAACCTCATTGACATATTTGAAATGTATGCATTTATTGTACGTGTGATGGTTAATTTTAGGTGTTAGTGTGACTGGATTAAAGAATACTTGGAGAATTGGTTAAGCATTCCTCCTGTGTGTCTGTGAGATTGTTTCCAGAGGAGACTGGCCCGTGAGTTGGTAGACTGAATGGGAAAGATTTGCCCTCAATTTGGGTGGGTACCATCTAATTGGATGGGAGCCCAGATAGAACAAAAAGGGAGAGAAAAAGGATTTGCTTGCCCCCACCCACCCCCCCGGAGATAAGACAGTCTCCTCTCCTGCGGGTGGACATCAGAACTCCAAGCTCTCCTCTGGGATGTCAGGGCTTACACTAGCAGCTCCCTGGGTTCTCAGGCCTTCGGCCTTATACTAAGAATTACACCGCCAGGCTCAGTGACTCAGCCTGTAATCCTGCGCCTTTGGGAGGCTGAGGTGAATGGATTGCCTGAGCCCGTGGGTTCGAGACCCGCCTGGGCAGCGAGACCTCATCTCTACAATAAATCAAAAAATCAGCCGGGCGTGGTAGCACGTGTATGTAATTCCGGCTACTCGGAAGGCTGAGGCGGAAGGATCGCCAGAGCCCAGGAGGTCGAGGCTGAGGTGGCCGGGAGCGGCCACTGCACTCCAGTCTGGGTGACAGAGTGAAACTCCAACTCAAAAAAAAAAAAAGAATTACACCATCAGCTTCCCTGGTCCTGAGGTTCCTGGAATTGGACTGAGCCAAGCTGCCAGCATCCCAGAGTCTCCAGCTAGCAGATGGTCTATCATGGGCCCTCTTACCCTCCATAATCATGTGAGCCAATTTCCCTAATAAATCTTGTTTTATACATCTGTCTGTCTATCTATCGATCTATCTATCATCATCATCTATCTATTGCCTATTGGTTCTCTCTGAAGAACCCTAATATAAAATACAAATTATACTTTAATAAAGTTGATTAAAAACAAAGGCACCCAGGGAAACCCTTCGAGTCCCCTCCCACTGTGGAAACTTTTCTGTCTTCACAATAAATCCTACTTTCAAAAAAAAAAAAAAAAAACCCCAAAACAAACAAAAGCAAAGGCACCCACACCTAGATTCGTTCTAGAAAGTTTTGAATTACATAAATAAAAAGATTCTATGACATCTAGGCAGAAAAATCAGACTACTTTCAAAGAATGAAAAAATTTCGTATAGATTTCTCCTTAGAAATACTAAATAAGAGATGATAATGAAAACATTAATAGTTGTTAAGGAGAGAAGTTACTTAAGAATTTTATACCTAGCCAAAGATTGTCATAAAAGAATACAACAAAAAGCCAATCTTAATGTGGGAGGGCTCAGAAAATACACCATTTATCCACCTGTCTGTAAAGAAAAAATACTGCAGCCATTTCCCAGCTAAGAGCTCAAGAATGAAGAAAATCTTAAAACTTATTACAAATATGATTTGAAACTGAATGAAAATTTAAAACAATAGTAGTAATTCCTAGAAGATATAATACAAAAACAAGATAAAGAGATCATATGAGTCTCAAATCCTAAGTTTTATTAATTAAAGTTGGAGAATGTGGGTGAAGAAAGATAATGAAGTAAATGCCCATTCCGTTTCCTATTTGATATGGAGTAAAAGTCTAGAGCTATTGGGTAACTAAATTGTGAAACATCAATTTATGGTATACTCTACAGGCATAAAAATAACAAGGAAGCTCTTTATGTTCTGATACAAAATGTCTATAAAAAATTATCCTAATTTTTGCAGCAAAACAGAGAAACCATACTATTCAAAGGAAATTGGTAACCATGGTTGCCTGGGGGAGGCTGGGAAATCGAGGCAAGGAGACTTTACAGCAAATGCTTTGTCCTGTGTTCATTTGTAAATGAGTCATGTCATTATCTATTTTTAAAAATAAGATTTTTAAATTTATTATTTATTTTGTTTTTTTGTTAAGAATCAAGTGAATACTCACTGAAGACTTTAGTACACATGTAAATCTAGCTTATGATAAAGAAGAAATCACAAATCAAAAAAGATCCAATAAATGATCTTGAAGCAATTGGTTTTCTATTTGGGAAAAAAGGTAATGTTTAGTCCTTATTTCACAACCCTCACAGGAACAAACTACAGACATTAAAGAGTCAAATTACAAAAATTAAACTATAAAAATATTAGAACAAAATAAGTGAATCTTAGAGCAAAGACTTCCCAAGAGTAACCTGATAAATATGACCTCATAAAAATCTAAATCTCCCATGGATTAGAAATATCATATAAAGTTAAAAGGTTTACTAGAAACTGGGAAAAATATTTTTGTTAACAAATGTAAAAATTAATATCTGTATTCTTTAAAGAGACAATCAAATTTAAAAACGGGACAAACTTTGTGAAAATATTATTAAGTCTTCAGTATAAAAATGGGCAAAGGAAATGAACACATAGAAAATGAAAATGGTTAAAAACATATAAGGACATGCAAAACTCACTGATAACTAAGTTAACCCAAATTAAAGAAAGACCTTCTCTTGCCTATGAGATGAGCACAGTTCCAGGAGACAGGAGCTCAAAACTACAGACAAATGTGTAATGGCACAACCTTTCTGGAAAACAATATGGGATATATACCAACAACCTTAAACATGTTCCAACTTTTGACTCAGCGATTCTAATTTTATATAAAATGTCTCTGCAGGAATTTAACGCAACTTTATTTATAATAGAAAAAAAAAGTCCCGGAAACAACCAAAATGTTTAAAAACATGAAGTGTTAAATTCTACTATACTCATATAACAAAATATTGTTCCAAGATTGAAATCATGTTTTCAAAAAAATACTTAGTGACCTAAAAAATGTTCAGGACACACTATGAGTGAAAAAAGGTAGAATAAACACTATTAGATACTATAATAATTTGGGAATGATGACATGTCAATTCATACAAATTTTAAATACTGAAATAAATGCAGCAAAATGTTTGTGACAATTTTCTCCGAAATTACTTTACTTTATTATTTTTACTTTCCTGTGTATTCTAAAATTTCTATAATAAGTATGTGGGAGGAGATGCCGCATATTACATGGATACTACAACTACAAAAATTTTGCCTGGCATCAACATGCTCAGGAACTCAACTAGAAGAGTTAATTATTGAGAGTTAATTATTGCAAGGAGCAAGTAATTCACAGATAAAAGTTTGACAACACTTTAGTGTTGCCTTCCATCTTTCTTATACACCTTTGGTTCAGAGCTCCATATAGGCAAATCATGTGTAGAATAGATGCTTCACCAGTACAACTCCAGTGAGCCAGCCAACAGGAGCACTCTCTCTCAGTATAGTGAATACCCACATACAAACACCATAACCAAACTCAAATATCTCAAGTGCATGGTGTTTCCATGACACACTTGCCTGCCCAGAAAGTCTTCAACCAAGTCCATCTACTTATGGTCCACAAACCACCAGGTGAAAACAACTGCTGAAATAATCTATGAGTTGATAACTCTAGCATGAAGAGTCCCAAATCCCATGCCCAGGCTCCTAAGTGCCCCTCCCCATCTCCTGCTTGTTTTCTCTGGCAGGATGTTTTACAGTATGTTCATTTCCAACCCAACTAATAAAGGAGCTCTTTAAAGTTTAGAAAAACACTGCTTATTGGGTTCCTGAGTCCAGCATGTGTGTAATACATAAATAAGCAAAGAACACATGTACAGTACCTTCCCGAAGCTGTGTTGGCTTGGCAGAATTTTCCCCACTCATTAAAACAACAAAGGATGCAGCTGCTCGAACTGTAGCCTGCCATGTTGACATGGCAACGGGTGGCTCCTGGCATGGAAAAAGGGCCCTGTTGTTTATGGGAGATCCCATAGTATAAACACACGGCCTGCAGAAGAGAAACAAAGAAACAAAGGGGAAGAATCTTTAAAATGAGTTGTCACTTTTCTCACCACCATGTTAGTGAAGGTTAAGTTGAGCTTCCAAAGAGAAAATATTTGAGGCTTTGTAGTTGACTGGTTTCAAAGCATTTTGAACTGAAACTGCCAAAGGCTGGCTATGTCAATAGCTGAGTGGTTATTTCTCCCAAATGAATTACTTAAATATGTAAAGAGAGTTTTTTTTAAGGAGAGAAATATTTTTGGGATAAAGTTTTAAATACTAGTCTGCCAAGTTATAATTTATATTACCCTTGCCCCCTCACCCCTAAGGCCCTTTCAGAAGAAAAGAGTTTTAGAGACATTCTTTCAAACCTTTTGGAAAGTATTCTGGAAAAGAAAATATGTTTGGAGATCACTGAGATATTAATGCTCGGAAAAACAAGCCGGTGGTCTCAAATCCAGCGCTGGCAGGCATATACCCCCAATCTTGGAAACCACCATCTCAAATGGAACCCTTGTGGGAATCCTTGTGTGGAGGCCAAGAACAGGCTGGCACATAAGCAGGGTTGTAGGTCACAACAACCAGGCTTGTGATGGGAAAGCCAAGTATACAGTTGTTACCACAGCAAGTGTACAAAATCAATGGCATGCCATTAGGACTCGTTCTGCTACAATTAAAGAAACAAGTCAAACCTACTCAAACCAAGAAAGATCCTTCCATGATTATTAGGTCATGGTTGACAGGGATGGAAAAGATCGCCTTTTTTTTTTTTTGAGTTGGTGGGGGTCTCACTTTATCACCTAGGCTAGAAAGCATGGCATGATCACGGCTCACTGCAGCCTTGACCTACTAGGCTCAGGCAATCCTTTTGTCTCAGTCCCTGAGTAGCTTGGACTACAGGCACATGCCACCACACATGGCAAACACTTTTTATTATGTTTGTGTGTGAAGATGAGGTCTCACTATGTTGTCCAGTCTGGTCCCGAACTCCTGGCCTCAAGCAGACCTCCTGCCTTGACCTCCCAAAGTGCTGGGATTACTGACATGAGCCACCGTGACTGGCCAGAAACCATTCTTTTGACTCCACAGAGTAGAAGGCACAAGATTGGCTTCTCAGGAAAATATCACAGAAAAACATTTTCACTTTCTATTGTTTAGTTATGACAAATATGAGGAGAATCCACCCCAAAATGAAATTATCTTTTGAAAGATGGACCCCTTGTGGTAGAGGCTTCTTCTAGATAAGTGTTCCAGAAACTCATCAGCATGAGTGTACCAGTTAGCATTGTTATGAGAGGCTGCGTCAACTTCAGTGAGTTTTTTTGGAAGACTCTTTCAACGCATTTGCCCGTTGCATGATGGGTGATTTACGAGAATACCTGCCCACACCATGCTGAGCATTCAGCAGTTGTTGACCAAAAACGGTGTGACCTCCATGCTCCACCCTCCCTATTCACAAGATCTCACCCTGAGCGACATTTTTTTTCCTTCCCAGATGAAAAATGCCCTCAAAGGTAACCGTTTTGCCGATGTGGAAGAGGTGAAACAAAAAATGGCAGAAGTATTAAAAGGCATCAAAATGGGTGCGTTTAAAAGTTGTTCTGAGCAGTGGAAAAAGCATCTCAGTAGGTGTATTACATCAAGCAGAGACTACTTTGAAGGTGACTAAAGTTTAAACATGGAAGAATAAATATACAAACTTTTTGCAAATAAATTCCAGATTTTTGGAGTCGCCCCTCATATGTAACACTAACCAACTTGACTTGTAAAGCGAATGAATAGAGCAAAGCACTGTTTCTTTTGGATAAACGAGTTTTCCATTTTCATTAACATTATAATTGAACACGTACTGTGTTCATACAGTGTGCAAGAACACACAGAATGACGGCCCTACTGTATGTGGTAGGGTCCAGTAAGGAACGGAGAAACCAGTCTAGGTCTTAACAAGCAGCGATAATTTAATACAGGTTGGTTAAACAAATGACAGAAGAGATGAGATGCCAATCAGAGGACAGTGAGGGAACCCAGAGATGAGCCACAGTAGTAAGCAGCTGTGATGCCTTGAACTGGAGGAACTACTAATGGTTGTTACTGGGTTATAGGGGTAGGAGTCATCTGGCACAGGGGGAGCTGTCCAGTGGATCTGGGACCACGAAGGAGACTCAGTTGCACTGAAACTGCAAAAGGGAGCAAAGAGAGGAGAAGAAATACCCTGTTCTTGCTAACTCCTGCTCTCAAATCTTCCACCAATGGCCCCCATTGGCCAAACCTACCTGGAAGCCCGAAGACAGGATAGCCTAGGAAATAAGGCTCCTTGTCACTGAAGAGAAGATTTTGTAAAAGAGCAGAAAATGGATCTTAGAGCAAGCAGGCAGTGGCAGTCTATTTATCCTACAGGTCTACATGCTATGATAACTTGCAGGTTTGACATGGGGCAGGAAAAGATCAAAAAGTCTAAAGACTTTCATCCCAAGTGGGCTGCCAACTTACTTAACGACTGTGGGAAATTCCCTTGACCTCTGAGTCACACGTAAAATGGGCATTGGGGGTAGGGTAGGAGACCTCTATTGCCTGTTCTGGTCAAGAAGCCTATGATTCTGTATCCCAAGTTTACAGATCCAAGAACAAGAGCAACTTTTCAGGGACGGTCTAGAATCTCCCATCAATTCCAATGAGTTCTGAGTTCCCACCCTGGTCCCCTGGGGTTCTCCGTTAATTGACTTAACTTTAGCTAACTTTTCAGCCAGCGGCTGTTTTAAGGATCTGATAAGGGAGACTGCTAGAGCTCACCTGCTCCAGGTAGGATCATGGTGGTGGGAGGGATCCTGTAGCAGCTCAAACAGCTCAGGTAGGTGGAAATCAAGGCACACCTAGTTGTGAAAATTCTAGTCATATGGTATTTTGTTTTTTTCCCCAAAAAGCCCATCTTAGAGAAAGGTCCCAAAAAAGAAAAGTATCACCAGTGGAAAGGAGATGTATTCATTCCCACTGGCCAAATGGCAGGTAAAACTCCTACTTCCTCTGACAATGGCAGATGTTGAAAATCAGGGTTTTCTCTCTCATTGATACAGAATGCATCCCCCAGTTTTTCTTAGTTCAAGAGCTCCAGAAAGTCACTTCCAATCTACACGGGTGTGTGGAGTTAAACCTATGTGCAATGTTCACAAGGAAAAGACGGGCCTTTGCCTAGAGCTCTCCTCAGAGTTCCTCTGCCTCAAATACAGGGAGGCGACCTCATATTGTGGTCTGAAGTCTTAAGGTCCAGAGGCCAAGTCTGAAAGTTATCTGTGCCCTCAGCATTTCATGTGCCTAGGATGACTCTGGTGTTACAGGTCTTCCCTGCCCCGCACTGGGAACAAAAAGATGTTGCTCTCTCCCCATAAGGCTGGGTTGGAGGCCATGCTAGCATATCACTATGTATCCCGCCTGCAGTCCCCAAGACTTCCTCTGTCAACCTCCACACCTCTTTCCTGAACAAATGATCAGATCTGAGATGAGGTCACATCTGAGAGACAATGCAGAGGGTTTTCCAGCACCAGTCAAGCCTTGAAATGCCTGCAGCCCCAGTCAACAGTTTGACAGCAACCTTGGGAGACATCCTAAGCCAGAACCACCCAGCTAAGCTGCGCCTTGATTCCTAACCCTCAGAAACTGTATGAAATCATCCATGCTTGTTCTTTTAAGCGCTTGTGAGGTATTGCCCAACATAGACTGCGTCCCCCTATACCTGACTTATTTCTGACCCTCCCTCAGGGAGTGGCCTCTGGCCATGGCTGGACTCTGATGAGCAGGCCTATTCCCGCTAATGAGTCATGGGATGCAGGTGACCAAAACGGAAAAAAATGTAGTCCGTCACTCTTAATCAATGTACTTGTAAACACTGTATAGGAACTTGAATGATTAACTGGGATTGCTTTGATTATAAAACTGCTTGCTATACTGTCCCAAGGTGCAGATGCTTCACCTACCTGTTGCCATTGGTGCCTCCTGTACGTGCTAATAAATCAGTGTCGTTCCCTGCTGGACCTCTGGGTGACTTATTTGGAACAGTAAACACTGCACGCAAGCCCACTCAGATTTGGGGCTTCCATATTACACTGCTAAATCTGGGGGCGCTTTGTTATGCAGCCATAGGTAACTGACAGCATTTTCCGAGGTTTCTGGCTCAAGTGACGAGATAGATGGTGAAGTTATAAAACAAGACAGGAAGCTCAGGAAGGGACAAGGGAGTAAAGTAGAGGACACTCACCGGTTTAATTTACCTACAAAAAGCTTTACATATCATATGGCAAAGGGCGCTTCTATGGATATAGAGACTGTGTTTTCCTAATCCCAAACAGCATAGTGTCCAACAATGGGACCAAATGTCTGAAATCCGACCTGCCTCAGAAAAACTGGTGATGAGGGTTTTATGAAGTAGTAAGTACTGATACTGCAGGCAGATATGAGTCAGCTGGGGAGGCAGGGAGGGCATTCTTCTGGATTAAAGTGACTGGATTAAAAACTAACATGTTATCACCATCTTTTCTTCCCTAATTCTGTATTATGTCCTCTCTAACTATCGAGTTGTAGACATTGTGTTCTAGCATTTTGTCTTGATCCCTCTGTCACCCTCTTTATGGCTCCTTCTGCCATCTGGTCTGGGCACCTGAGTTGGTCCATCACGGGAGTTAGTTTCCTGGCTAGGTCCTCAGCCCTCAACTCCTAACTCCCCAAAGTTCTCACAATTCTCTGTTCCTACCCTCCTCTCTACATGACAGGAGTGTTCTTTCCGCTAACATCTAAAAATGTGCTTTCTTTCTAGCTTTCAACTCAGTTTCCAGAGCTGTAACTCTGAACACACAGATCAAGTTATCAAACTAAAAGCCACATCCATCAATATACCCATGTCTTTTACTTTCTTATTGGAATGTTTTCATACGTAGGAAAAGAATCACACTAGGGGGTGATGCTTAGGTACGCAAAATTTCTTGAAAATGCAAATTCTCTTTGTGCTCCTAGACTCCTCCTTTCTTGGCCTCTTCCTCTTCTTCAGCTGCAGGCTCACTCCTCCCTTCCCAACATGCCCAAACCAACTGCCAGTGACTTAGCACCTTTACAGTCGATGGCCTTTTGCTCTTTCACAACCTG